AATGGGGTCTCTAAAGTTTAAACGAAAAATTGACAAATTGTCAAATTGACAAAGATGTCACCAAAAAGCGTGTTATTTAAATTCTGCTGCTTCAGCGCTATAGTCGATCCTATCCGCAACTAATTTTAAGGTCTGAAAAGGAAGGGGGGAGTGAGCATAGCATGCTCTGAGCTTTATTTGACAATTTTTGGCCTATCAGAGTAATTGTTTAGAAAATTGGACTAGTACAAATTGCAGCGAATATGACACTAGTGCTACCAGGTAAATATTTTTTAATTTATCAATTTTTTAATCATTTGTTCGATTAAATTATCCTCCAATTACAACTCGCAATTAAAAATAAATGTCGAATATTTTAAGGTGTGTGATAGCAAAAATTATTTGTAGTTGCAAATAGTACTCGTGGTAATTAATTAGGGGGCATCCATTAATTACTTAAGGCCATTTTAATTTTTTAGTAATAATTACTAAACAGTTCTCTATACATGGTTATTAATTGCTATAAGTCAGCCACTTTTTTTGTAAAACCAGAACAACTTTTGTAATACTATACTAACTTTATAACAATCATTACAAACAGTTTGGGAATAATAGTATTAGTAATATATTATGTATATTTTTTATTTTATCCTCTTTTCCACCACTTTGCCCCTAGGGGATTCATGCAAATATATAAATCAGTTATAAATGGAATACACTAAAAATTTTAATTCACGAATAAATAATTGTAATTACTTATTTTAGCTTCTCTGCCAACCTCGCAAATTTATTAAAAATAAAATAAATTTATAATTGAATTCTGGAACCAAATAATTATACATATTTACAGGAAACCCAAAAAATTTAAAAAAAGGTGTAGTTCTGCGGTTTTAAAAATTGTAAGTCGCTTTGGACTGCAACAGCAATTTATAGATCAGTAAACTGCTACAATAAAATATCCTCTAACATATAGTGCTTTTATGGTTAATTTCTAAAGCCGCCGTACATTTATAAAAATATATTGTACGCGCGTTGTCGGGCCCAGCAGTGTTGCCAAGTTTAGGGGCTGATAACGATACGTTAATATAAATGTATACATATATACTCAGAAGCGCCCCCCACAGTGAAATTCTCCAAACTTTTTGTATAAATGAATGCATAAATAGTACTTTTTGAGGCCCATCAAAAATTTTAACAGGAGGGTGCAGAAAGAAAGGAGAATCGAATGGCTACTATATACTCGGGCTCCGTTGTAAAGCCCAAAGCCGGGTTTTATAACGTCGCTTTGGGATTTAAAACGTACTAAAGTTATCTTGTACGGGCCGGTATAAGAGCGTTTATAAGTCTATATATATGTATATACAAGGTGTCCCTAAACTTAGTGGCATAAATTTAGGAGCAGATTAAGCAAGTCAAAATAAGACGAAAATCTAAATAAATATTTTTCCTAATTACGTGTGTTTAAAAGATACAGGGTGATAAAGTGTTACTTATCATATCAGTTTTTTTAATATAACTTCTACTATGGTAGACTTGGAAAGGTGATATTTTGCGAACAGTCACTTACTACCAAAACACATATTCACACATAATTACAATTGTTTGAGTGAACACAGTGTCGTAGAAACAGGGGTTGCTTAATCTTATTGTCCCATACAAACTTTGAGGTTAGGTTTTTATACCATTTGATGCAATTTTGCGATTAGTCAGTTCGGCTACTATTAAAAAGGTGTACCTCTCAAACTTCGATAAAATTAACCGTTCTCGAGATATTTGAGATTACAATAATTGTTATATCGCATTAAAGGACTAAAAGTTATATGATAAAAAAAAATTTAATTGACAAAACTACATTTTTTTTAATGTGACGGTCAGGGCAAAAAGTCCCGAGGCTCATGGAATGCCCTTTTTAGTTTTTTCAATTAAAAAATAAAAAATAAAATTTGTTATCATATACCTTAAAGGTGGCGGCTGGTGGATTTTAAGTATACCAATATCTCAGTTATTAGACATGGGACCCACACAAAATTTATAATAGTTTATATTGACATTAAATAAACAAGTTCGGCGCAAACAGAATTTAAATTGAAGTTTGCGAAAAAAAGTTAGTTTTTCCTGTCGCCTACTCTGCCTCCAGGCCCCCCTATTTGAGATAATTCAAATTAAAGTGGTGCAATTTATTATCCACTATAATTTATCGACAAATTTAAAATTTTATTTAAAAAATCTAAATATTACAGTTTTTATACCATTTTACATATTTTTTTATTTTAATAAAATAAATAATAAAAATTTAAAATCAAATAAAATCTGTAATATTTGGATTTTTTGAATAAAATTTTAAATTTGTCGATAAATTATAGTAGATAATAAATTGCACCACTTTAATTTGAATTATCTCAAATAGGGGGGCCTGGAGGCAGGGTAGGCGACAGGAAAAACTAACTTTTTTTCGCAAACTTCAATTTAAATTCTGTTTGCGCCGAACTTGTTTATTTAATGTCAATATAAACTATTATAAATTTGGTGTGGGTCCCATGTCTAATAACTGAGATATTGGTATACCTACTTAAAATCCACCAGCCTTTTAATACCTTTTAATCCTTTTAAATAATGCGATAAAACAATTATTGTAATCTCAAATATCTCGGAAACGGTTTATTTTATCGAAGTTTGAGAGGTACACCTTTTTAATGGTAGCCGAACTGTTTAATCGATAAATTGCATCAAATGTTACAAAAACCTAACCTCAAAGTTTGTATGGGACAATAAGCTTAAAGCAACCCCCGTTTCTACGACACTGTGTTCACTTAAACAATTGTAATTATGTGTGAATATGTGTTTTGGTAGTAAGTGACTGTTCGCAAAATATCACTTTTCCAAGTCTACCATAGTAGAAGTTATATTAAAAAAACTAAATTAAAACTAAACACTTTATCACCCTAACTTTTAAATATACGTAATTAGGAAAAATATTTATTTAGATTTTCGTCTTATTTTCACTTGCTTAACCCTTTAAGTGGCAGAAGAAATTTTCTTTGAAACACATTTTTTTTTGATTGAAGATAATTTATATGGATCCCAGGATGCTTGAAAAAATATACAAAAAAATCTACCCCCTCCCTTTTTATCAGAATAGGGTGGTTAGTATAGTGACCTTGGTTACTTCAAGAAAACAAGATGTAGTATAATTTCTCAAATCATTTTATTGACCACTTTTATCAAAAAATATATTGTTGGCAGAAACTCATTATTTATTCAAGGGAATTTGACTTTAAAAACTTTAGGCATGATGTTATAGTTATTATTGATAGCAGAAGTATGGTTGGGTGTTCAAATATTTGGCGCCACATTTAATCACGAGGGTGGTCAGTATAGTGACTCTGCCACTGTGTCCGGTAGACTCGAGACGATTTCAGTTGGAGTTCAGGTAGTATCAAAATATTATCTAAGCCGTTGATATTAGGTGAAATAAGAATTTTACATTTCGATAATTATAGTTCTGGGGTGTAAGAAAAATTATAAGTATCTTGTAATGAGGAAAAATAGTACCAGAAAAATTTGGTATACCTAACCTATATTTTCTGAAAAAACAAATAGTTGCCCTTTATGAGGCCCAAAACACCCAATACTTTAAATATTTTGTCTTCATTTTGCAACTGAGATACAAAGAAACATATTGAAAGTTTTTAATGTTATTTACAAAATAATAAAATAGCATTTACTCACCTAAATATGTTCACAAATATCACTTTGCACATTCAAAGAAAAAAGTAATGTTCGTAAAGTATCGATGGTTAGTTAAGTGACCACTTTTTCAAAATACGTCATGCGTAGGGGACGTTGGTTAACTGAGTGTATTTGCAGGCCTTTAGGCATGATGTTATAGTTATTATTGATAGCAGAAGTACGGTTGGGTGTTCAAATATTTGGCGCCACATTTAATCACGAGGGTGGTCAGTATAGTGACTCTGCCACTTAAAGGGTTAATCTGCTCCTAAATTTATGCCACTAAGTTTAGGGACACCTTGTATATTAAAAACACAAAAAGTTAATAGGTATATTAATAAAACATTATTATTAATATATGTAAAAAATGTTTACATTGACCTATTAGGTAAATAAAATAATTATTATCTATGCACTAGTCTTGTCATTTTGACAGCGAAAGCAAAAAGGTCAATATTGTATCTTTGTTATTTACAGAATTATACATGGACAACCAAATTAGGACGTTCAAAATTCCGTGTTAGTCACTGTATTTCAACATATTATATAAAATAAATATTAAGGTCAATTAGTTTTAAAGCATAGATAAGAGAGGATGGACCAAAGATAATACTCGTAATGTATAATTTTTGGGATGGACTGGTAATAACTGAAAGTAAGGTTAGTTGTCCATAAAGGAAGTAAGTTTTTTATGTCAACGGGATAATAGTCGTTCCAAATTCCGTGTCTTCTACTGTAGCTACAGTCAAAGATAATACATTATCTTTGGCTACAGTGACTACTTATCATACAAAATTTTACACTTTTAATTGTTTTAATTTCCCTTAACACAAAGGGAGTTTGATTCATAGGTATACCTATGAATCAAGTATACCTACTGCCTTTAAAATATTAATTAATGCATAATGCATAAAAAACAACAATTAATATCAAATTAACAAATTATAAATGTAAATGTAAGGAGTCACTGAAATTCACCTTGAATAACATCTTAAACGAAATAAACACATACTCACTTCGTATCAACCAATAATAAACAATTTCACAAAAACTCGTAAAATAAAATCAAATTTAATAGATAAAAAAATATATCAAATGCAAAGTGCGAATCATCGAGCGAATACAAAATGCATTTTTATTTAAATTTTTTCAATTGCTTTATTAAGTTCGCAGGAATCTTAACTACAACCAGTCCTGCGCAATCGTGAAACATGAGGAAAAACATGAAATTCCATTAATTCAGTTTTTATTTTATTGTTTATCTTCTGTTCATTCAGTACAAGACTTTGTACTACAAAGTCTTGTTTGTAAATAAATGGGTGTGTATAATATACTTGGATTATTTACTATAGTTTGTAAGTTTATTTATATTTATATTTTATTAATCGTTAATAATAATTAAACTTTATTGACGACAAAGCCAGTTACTTTATATTTGATATAACAGTTAAATTCTTAATGTTTACTGTTCGTAAGTATACCGGGTAAGTATAACGGGTGGATAAATACTTTAGAAGGCCTATAAATAGTTTTTGGGTGTTTTATTAATTATGATTTTATTTAATAGAAATATCTAAAATAAATAAGAGAACAACGATTTTATTTTTATTAAGTCGTGTAATTTTTTTTAGCTCATGTTCTGGCTATAGATCTATGCAGAGAGCATTCATCATGCGTTCCTTTAAGAAAATGTCATCCAAAATCAAGTTCAGCTTTTATCTATCCTTGTCATATAGGTTTAAATCTAATTTGTTGCCCTAATTCCGACATCCAAAACACTACATCTTTAGAAACAAGAAAAACCCTATTGTTTCCGGAAGAATGTGGGGAAATAACCAACGAAAAAAAAATTAAAGGGGGCAAAAATGCAGATTTGGGACAGTTTCCTTGGATGGCACTTTTGGGATATAAACGTAAAATATTTTTGTAATCAAAGTTATACATTATAGTATCAGAAAAATCCTTTTTTCTTTCAGAAAAATCAGCAGGAATTTCAGAATTCCTTTGTGGAGGAACAATAATAACACACAGATACATAATGACGGCAGCGCATTGCCTAGCAGTTAAAAGTAGAGAATTGTAGGTAAATACAAAATATTTTTTTTAATTTTGCTTAATTTTTTTATTTTCTCACAGGGTTTTTGTAAGACTTGGTGAGCATGATATAGATAGTGAGGATGACTGTGTAACAATAAAAAAATACACAAAATGCGCTGACAAACCTGTGGATATAAACGTTGAAGAAAGAATTCCTCATTTTCAGTACAATGAGACGACTTTGAAGAACGATATCGCTTTGCTTAGGTTGGAATTGGATATACCATCAAAATCAGGTAAATAATTTACAAAAGAATATATAATTTTTGATGTTTTGTATTGTAGAATTCATCAAACCCATATGTCTTCCATTTGAAAGAAGCCTGGAAAGCAAAGACTTGGCTGGACAAAAGTTTACCATAACGGGATGGGGCAAAACCGATCCAAGTAATAACCAACACCCTCTACTAGCTTACCAAATAAATGTATACATACTTTTTTTTAGAAAATTTGCAAGGTTCAAGTTATCTACAATACGCTCAAGTCGTTGTAGCAAATCAGGAGAAATGCAACTCAAATCTTCCAGCAAGAGTTCGGAATATTTCTGATTCTCAACTATGTGCTATCGGTAAGACTGAGGATGCCTGTAAAGGGGATAGTGGAGGACCTTTATCCAATGCCACAGGGGATTTTAAGGGGGAAATAAGGATTTTTCAGATAGGGATAGTATCTTTTGCTCCCACACCGACTTGTGGCATACAGGAATTGCCTCCTGTATATACACGAGTTGACAAATATTTAAAATGGATTGAGGATACTGTTATAGTGTAGTTATAATAATAAATTATTTTATTAAAGTGTTTTATTTATTACATACAAAAGTACCAATACATCAACATACATTACTTAAGTTTACTATCTGTTATTTGACTGGATATCTTATCAAGTTTTTGTTTTAAAACTTTGAAAACATCCTGAAATTCCTTACTGATTTCCTCGATTTCTCTCTTTAAAGATTTCTGGTTTGTCTGCGTACCATAAACCGAATTTATTCTTGATACACAAGGTGATATAGTGTACGAAGAGTGTGAATTGTTCTTCGTTCTCCTACCTTTAGGCTTTTCTTTCTTCTCTATAACCAACTGGTATATATTCTGTATCAACTCTTTGGGTATCCTCTCCTCCCTTGGGTCGTTAGGTTTAATATACAAAGCCCAGTGGTACTGTGATTTTAGAAGTAACGCTTGCTTTTGTAGGAAGAACATAAATTTGTATGGGATGAAATTTAACAATCTTGAAAACAACATACTTTCCAAATACCCAATTAATTCAGCTTGTCTGACAAGCCTATCTAAACCTGCACTCTGTTGCAACCCCTGAATATCGCTGACAGCCAACCCTACCATTAAGTTGGCAAGAATTACAGTTACTAGTAGTACGAATGTTAAGTACATTAAATGAGCTGTGCCTGGATATTGAATGGGGTAAATATCATCAAAAAACACATCCTCATATTCTAACTCCCCTGACATCATTATGATGACTTTAATAATAACCAGCTTCAAGTCTTTAAAGGATTTATAGTTTGAAAACAACACCCCAAAACTTAAAGCAAACGCTATGAAAAGGCAGAAGTACGCTAACAAAAACTTTGCAAAATTCACTGAAACTGTAGTGAACATCTGCACATGCAACCCAAACATAGGGAATCGTCCAACAATCATCATGAGCTCAACCCATGCGAAAAATATACCTGTAGCTGCTACATTGTGTTGCCAGTCATCTAACTCAACACTAATATTAACTATTAAGGCTGTTTTCGGTTGAACACACAAAAAAATACTTATTATTAGTAACCATTGCAACCAGTTTTCCCAGCGTTTTAAGTATGATAGCCAACTTTGGGCTATCTGAAACAACTCTTTACACATAAATAAAAAGTTAAGGAATAGTAAGAAATAACCCATTACTATTACAGAGCTAGTGGTTTTGCAGATTTCACTTTTACCTGGGTCTTCCTTTGGTGGACATCTATATACTTCAATGATGTAAGTGGTGAATAATGTTACAAACATTAAATGAAAAAATAGACTAAATAAAAAAAACTTTCTTATACGCTTATGCCACTTTAAGAATAAAAACGTCTCACATAGAGGGTGTTTCAAAACCTCTCTATGTCCAACCTCCACAAAACTTAGCAACAAGTCCGACTCTTTTTGCCCTAATGTCGGAACCAATACCCTAAAGTCAAGCTTAACCTCACAATCCACATCACCAATCTCATGGTCGTTTAACTTTATAGCCTGATCAAACTTACTGATGTATTTCGGAATTACATCTGGGGTTTTTCGCGTTATAAAAGTCAACACTGATGATCCACCGTTGGTTCTTAATGTCACATCGCCTCCATGATTAATAAGTATCATGATACAGTGACTGAACTCATTCAGGGCTGCCAAATGTAGAGGTGTGTACCCGAAGATATCTTTCTTGTTTACATTTGCTCCTGAGTTTACCAAAAGTCTTACACCCTCACATGATCTTGATACTTTTACAATGCTACTGTGTAGAGGCGTTCTGCCATCTATATCACTCGCATTCACATCGGCACCATGTTTAATAAGTATATTCATAGTTTCTGTGCATTGTGATAAAGCTGCCAGATGCAGAGGTGTTTGTAATTTGTGATTGCATAATGTTACTTCAGCTCCAGCTTCTAGTAGGAGGCGTACACACTCAAAATCTCCATCTTCAGCTGCTAAATGTAATGGTGTTACTTTTTCCGTCCCACATTGTACATTCACTGCTGCCTCGTGTATTATAAGTTCCTTTATTATGTCTGAGGCGCCTAGGGAGGCTGCTATGTGCAAGGGAGCTTCACTGAAAACCTAGAAATAAGTTTAATTTTTACTTATAATAAATTTACACTATATTTATAACCTGTGTAGTATTTGGTATTGCTCTATTTTCCAGTAGCTCTCTAACACACTCAATAGCTCTGCTCTGTACGGCATAGTGCAAAGGGCTTTTGTTATTTAGCCCAGCATTAACATTAGCTCCATTTAGTATTAGTTGTCTGAGACAGCATACATTTCCTATACTTGCAGCACAATGTAGCGGTGTGACCTTGTTATTGTTGTCCCATATATCTATGTTTGACCCCCATTCTAACAAGAGTTTAAGACAGTCTGCGTGACCTTTTAGGGCGGCTAAATGTAGGGCAGTTCTGAAAAAAGTGTGCAATACAACATTAAATATCAAGGGGGACATTACCTTCCTTCTGCATCCGTACTGTCCAAATTTACGCCAGATTTCAGCACTTCGTTTAGAATACTAAGTTTGCCATACCATGCTGATAGCAATAGGATGCTAACTTTATTTTTCTCAAGGATTTCTTTACTGTTGTTGTTGTTGTTATCGATATCCTTGAGGTTTTCAAAGTCAGGCAGACACTAGACAACAACAAAAACATTATTTAGAGGAAAAAAATTCAAAACTTTCAAGGTGTATTATCTCAACATAGGTATATGGTCTATATAGCGACAAGGCACCATATCAAGACAACAGTTCTTGGTATATACCAACTATAGTTTTCAAAATTTAATCGTAGTCATAGTTTACTGCAACAAGAATTTCTTGAAGGTCCTCCAAATCGGTTGTTATCCAAAAAAACAGCCAAACTGATATTGCAAGATCGTCATGTGCGAGATTGGGAATATGACGAGATATCATATATATGGGCCCCAACAAAAGTTGTTTAAATTGCTTGTTTTTAAGGTACCCTAAGCAAAGTGGAAAAAGGGTTACGAAAACTGGTTTAAATGAATGAAAAAGTTTATTGATCTTCATAAAGAATATATAAAAAAAAATAAAATTACCTTTAATGTTTCCAAAATAGTTTGTTCTTCCCAAATAAACTGCACTTGTTTTTTCTTACTTATTTGCTCTATATTACAATAACTTTCTACCTCACTTGAAATACTGGATACATCTTCTTCATTTGCATCGTTTTCCTCGTCATCCACCCATCTAATCATGGGTTCTTCTGTAGGGAAGGTTATAGTTGTATTTTTTGGTTCCAACATTTTATCAAACTCAACATAATTCAACTTAAACAAAGTGTTTTTGATATTCACCACACCGGCCAATTTTAGATTGTAAAATAAACTCCAGCAAAGTGTTTATATTGTGCTTTATATCACTCAACTAAATATAGAATACTCAATTCACAATTTTCTCGGTAAAATCCTTTAGTGTAGTGGTTATTATTAATTCAAAATTTAATAAAGAATAATACATGGAACATGTGTGACTTCGCTGGTGTGGGGAAATTATAAATAACATTCTATAAAAAATATTTTTATTTAACAGTGAAAACATCGGATATGAACTAGTAATTTTGTTTATTATTCTCTTTTAGAAACCCGTTTAATGTTTAAAAATAACTTTAAATTAGCCAAAGAAATATTTGCTGTATTTGTAACAATTCAATACTGAATAATATTTATTGCGAGTTGGCATAAATTTGAAAACAATCCAAATTATATTTACTACAATTTACAGTGGGTTAATAGGCGGAAAACACTTAAAATAGAGAGTAATTATCTTTGGGATGCTTATTTTTATTGAAATACTGTATTTTAACACTTAATCTTTTGTTTTATTATTTTACGAACACATTTCGGAATGCTACTTAAGAATGAACCACTACTTTAATTATAAGAAAAAAAACTTTATTCTAATCATCAAAACAATCGCATTTTTCTTTTTCTTCAGGACGACTTTCTTTACTGACATCAGATTCCGTATTTTCACCTCCGAAGGTTTGAATTGCCTCATCTTTAACCTCAACCATAGACCTTATATCCGATAGATCGCTTAAACATCGTCTGGGACTTCTTTTAACATTATAACCCTTATATAACTCGTTTATTAGGTCTTCTTTTGTTATTGGATACTTCACCTACAAGATTTACCTTTGAAAAGAAAAAAATATGTTATAAATTAATACTTACCTGTGATTGTCGTTCAAATAATGTAGGCTGCTGATGAACTCTTCCTAACATCAGCTGCATCCTCAAGTGATGTTCTTCTTTCCTTAATTTTTCTTCTTCGCGCCTCAATTGAAGTCTTATCTGCAAATCTTCCTCGTGACTGTACGCTAAAGCTTGCCACACAGGTTTTTTCCTCATTAGTTTTTCTTTCCATCTGGCTTCCTCTTTAAGTTTCGCTTCTTCCAATTTTTGACACATCTCCATTTCAAGTCTTTGTCTGCAATCAAAAAAAGAATTAGTACCTACATTAGCACCTAGGTTGCTTAAGATATTTGTACTGAACCTTGCCGATTGTATTCTCAAAACCGCTGCTAAATTTGACCTATTAACAGACTGTAGATCAGCTGAGGAGCATGTTCTAGTATCTGAACTTTTGCTGCTTGCAGAGCAATTTCTATATCTTCTACCCTATAAATAGTTATGTAGCTTAAATAAATATTAAACAATGTTTACCCACATACTTTTTTGTCTGCTCTTTTGCTAGTACTCAATTTAAAAGGTCTAGGACTGGTTGAAATGAAGTCGTTCTTCAGTTCTTCAAGTTGTTTTTCGAATTGGTCGTGCGATAGTTTAAAGTTAGAAGGTTTTGCCTTCTTTTTGGTTTTTGTTGTTCCTTTAGACTGATTTTCGAGGTCTCTATATGATCTAGGACATACGTCCATTTTTGATCTACGTTTTTCCCTTTTTGACATTGACGGTGGTAAGGAGGCAGCTTTAAGCATTTCCTCTGCCCTGATTTTTTTTTGAAGAGCTCTAGAAAGTTAAAGTTAGATTTTTTTTATACTTTATATAAAAATATAGGTACCTACCTATAGAACTCATCCTCGTGCATTTTCTTATAAATATAATTACTAAACAAATTCTTTGGTACAGGTTTGGCCTTAAATTTCTTTATTTTGATTGGTGGGTCGTCTAAATATAAACTTGGAGTACTTTTGGAGAATCTTCTTGTCAAAGCTTGTAATTCTTCATCCCTCCTGGTAAATGAAAAAGGTCGCATTTGAGCTTGTAGAGCAGCTTTACGTTTTTCCCTGACGATATAATTTTTCCTCTCTTGGTCCTCCATTATTTTATCAAATAGTGGTATTTGGGATTCTATCGGAATGTCATGAGCTTTGAAGAGATCATGTTTTTCATTTTTATTTTGTGGTTTGTTTACTTTCAACATAACGTCTTCAATAATCTTGTTTTCCTCATCGCGTACCGTCATTTGGAATGGTTTTGGTATGGTGATACCGGATTCTCCCCATAGGTCTTTTTTTCGTGGTGATGTAGGGGCACTTTTTGTTTCCAATGGTGGTAAGTCTTCCTCAAGATCCAATTTTAACTCTTCCAATGTCAAATCATCCCAAATATTTTTCTTGCCACATTTGGATTTGGTTCTAAAGCCAGATTCAGGAGTTTCAGAAGAAATTGGTGTTTCAATCCTTACTGATCTTCTTGATGGTGGTTTTACCACCATTTCTTTATCTAAAAATATAAGGTTTTAGATTTATCAGTACCTATTAGATATTTATCTACCTACCCCAAATCGTTGTCTCCTGATTGTCATAACATCCTGTGAAGTCAACATAATCTAAGTTTCTGTTTCTAGATAGGTTTTTTGATAAAATAGGTGTTGTACAGAACGGTTCAATGCTAGATTTCTTTTTGAAACCACTTAGTGACTTTTTAGAACCTATGTTTAATTTTTTATAGTCCGAGATCCATTCTGCATCCTTATTATCAAATTTTAAATCATCATTTATCAATTCATAGTAAGTTTTTTGCTTTTCTTTCAAATTTTCCAATTTTTTATAAAACTCTTTATTGGAGAGGTGATTAATTTCATCATACTCAGGAATGCTATCAAAAAAATCGATGAAATTTTTAAAAGATTCCTTCTGGTCAACCATCCTATTTTTCATCTCATTTATCTCCAAACTAATCTTGTTTTCTTCGTTTTTCAAATGATTCAAATATTTTTGTTCGTAAGTTGGTAAAGGATGGTCACTAGTAGGGTTTTTAGGAGTTCTCAAACATAAATTTTTAAAAACAGAAGAATTATGACCATACATGTTACTACTTTTAACTCTTAACTCAGTATACAATGTGTTGCTATGGAAACCATATATTGATTATTTAATTTGTTTTACGCTTGCAATGCATAGGGGCAATAACAAAAGGATACCGAAATAAGGCGCCATATTTCGGTATTCTTTTGTTATTGCCCCTATGCATTGCAAGCGTATTAGCAGAGGTATTTCGGGGCCAAAAACTGTGGGGCCCTTATTTTAGCGGGACCAACACAAAGTCTATTTATTTTTTTAGCTTATTTATAGCGCATGTAATTTGATGTCTGCTTTTAAAAGACATGGAGCCCCCGCGTTATAAATAGTAAGGGAACACCCTCACTATTTGCACTTATTTACATTTCCATTTCCATTGAATGGGACATTTAATTTTTATTTTCATAGGTTTTTCTCTTAAGCAGTCAAACAACGGTATTCGAATAGGCCCGCGTGGGACCCGGGGCAAATTGGCCCTCTTGTGCGCCCCTGCCTATTAGTCATTGTGTTTGGTAAATAAAATAAATAAAATTGTGTTTGGTAAATAAATAAATAAAACTATATTGTTATTAATAGCGTTTTTTTCACACCAAATCAAGTAAATCCCCCTAAACAAATTATTTGTGCAATTAATTACATTGCAAAGTTTATATTTAGAAAGCCAATTAAGTTAATTATAATTAATTGAATTAAAATACAATAAATAAATAAATTAATTTAAAAATTTCGATTTTTTTAGTAAAACTAGACAACCATCTTTTTTTGTAACCTGGGTTGACTACCTAACAGGTAGTACCTATATTTTAAAAAGTAAGGTTTAGAGGTGGGAAGTTTAGTTCACTTTCCTGATTTCGATCTTTCGATCTCGTTCATTAAAGTGAATAGTACAAAAGACTAGTTCGTTTAGTTCACTGATTTATAATCGGATTTGTCGGATTTACGTAGTTTCGTTCGCGAACTACACTTCTCTAGTAGTTCAAGTGAACTATATTGAGATTGATTGATTGATTTGCACCAAAGAAGTGTTCTTGGAATTGCACTTGCTGCTGGTCAAAATGGTACGCTGTTGCCAAGACCATTAAGTGGTTGATTTGGTTGCCTATTTTAGGGACAATTACGAATTTTTAGTTTAGTTCGTATTGATTCGCTCTTTTTAGTTTTGGTGATTGAATCTTTTAGTTCAGTTACGAAATTCAATCTTTTGAACTAGTTCGTTCGCGAACTACACACCTCTAGTAAGGTTATGTAAAATAAGGTTATGTTTACATTGAAGTGTCAAAATATTTTATATTTAAACAATTTTTTAGCGATGAATACTGTAATAAATTGTGTTAAAACGTCCAAAAATCTACTAATTTTACCCAGGATTGGTTTTAATAGTAAATTATTTAGTTTTTCAAGCTCCAATCATTATGACATTATTATTGCCGGTGGGGGTATGGTTGGGACTACTTTGGCCTGTACCTTAGGTATTTTACATTATTAAACCCTTATCATATTTAAACATTTTTTCTTATATTATAGGACAAAATATTAACCTATCCAATAGCAGAATTCTACTATTAGAGGGTGCAGATGAAAAACCTATATTGTTACCTGATAAATATAGTAATAGAGTTGTTTCCTTAAACCCTGGTACAGCAAAATTGTTATCTGATATTGGGGCATGGAAACATGTTGCAGAATCAAGATATGCTCCTGTTAAAAAGCTACAAGTATGTAGAGTATGTTTGTTTTAACTTTTATGCCATATTTTTCATATTTAGGTATGGGATGGTATTTCTGACACTATGATAACGTTCAATAACGAAAAAGAAGACGAAATTGTGTCATACATAGTTGAAAACGATGTTCTATTAAGAGCTGTCAATAAAACAGTAAAAGATGTGAAAAATGTGAATGTGGTTTATAATTCAAAAATTAAATGTTACGATTTGCCAGAATATGAGACAAATAATGTTACTGTAACATTGGATAATGGAAATAAATATACTTGTGATTTATTGGTACAAAAAACTACATTCTTAAACATTTAATTTTGTTGAAAATTTTGTTTTTTAGTTGGGTTGTGATGGGGCAAATTCTCAAGTCCGTAGAGCAATGCAAGTGCACTATTTGACATGGAATTATAACCAAATGGGGGTTGTTGCTACATTAAAATTAGAAGAAGTAAGTTCTGTGGTTTTGATTCAAATTTTCATAAAATTTGAATCAAAACCACAGAACTTACTTACCTTAAAATTTTTTAGGGTACTGAAAACTGTATAGCTTGGCAAAGATTTATACCTAAAGGACCTATAGCTCTTTTACCTGTAAGTATCTACAATGGTTCTTAAGGGCCATCACTATGTTTTTTTTAGAAAAATCAGGCAGTGCATGTTTTTAAGTTGCACTGCCAGATTTTAAGTCGCAGTGCCAGATTTTAAGTCGCACTGTCAGATTTTAAGTTGCACTGCCAGATTTTAAGTCGCATTGACAGATTTTAAGTCGCACTGCCAGATTTTAAGTCGCACTGCGAGATTTTAAGTCGCACTGCCGGATTTTAAGTTGCATTGCCAGATTTTAAGTCGCACTGCCAGATATAAAGTCACATATGTCACATGAAACTACTGCAGAAGGTAAAGTTTGTTTAACTAACAAACTTTGTTAGTCGTGTGAGTTCTAAATGTTACGGTGGTGGGGAATTTGTAGTTTTATTTTATTGTTTAACAATTTTCAGAAAATTTGGATAATGGTGTACGTTTAACCAATATTTTAGTATTTGCTACTGGGGCAGATGCTATACCGCCATTAGGTTTTCCATTTGACGCCCGATTAACATTTCTTCAAGGTGATAGTAGATATTTGCTACTGGGGCAGATGCTATACCGCCATTAGGTTTTCCATTTGACGCCCGATTAACATTTCTTCAAGGTATATCCAACAGCTAATACATGTGTCACTGAATTAAGGATTCCGACCTGTCCTATGGATTATGATGACTTTAAAATATCTATGGATTTTGCATTCCTAAATTCAAAAATATTTGGGTTTGCATAAAGATTTGCCTCTTTTAGGAAAGAGAATTATTTTTTATTTTAAAACCAAATGTACTATCATCCACATCCCACTTTGAAATTTTATTGATGAACGCAGCCTTTTGATTACAAGGCATTGTATAATCCATATACCTATAAGTTATAGGTATATGGTATAATCAACGTAATTTTTTTAAAGTAAAATTGTATGTTTACGTTTGCATGTCAATGATATGCAAACGTTAAAATACAATTTTACTTTAAACTTACGTTGAATATACAATGTCTTGTGAACAAAAGGCTGCGTTCCTCAATGAAATGTCAAAGTGGGCGATTTTTATGAGGCGCCGTTCAGGACATAATTAATTTTTCTGATATATATATTTTATTTGCAAATATTTATATAATTTGTATGTATTTATAAAAATTTTCCATATATATATAATTTTTATAAAATATTTTTATTTTTTTTATATATATAAAAGTTTTTATTAATATTCAAAAAATTCTATACCTCAAAATTTTTTCTATATCTCAAAAAAATTTCTATACCCCAAAAAATTTCTATACCTCAAAAAAGTGTTTGGCAAACTTTGTGATAAAAACAGCTTTCATATTACGCCGCTAGATGGCAGCGCTGAAAGCCGCTTTGAGCAACTATAATCAAACGGGAACAAACAGGGATTTTAGCGTTTATTCTTATTCTATGATCTATAGTGATTTTTTGAATGCATATTTTGTAAACATAATGTTACCTGGGATTAAAATGAATTAAAATCAATTAAAACTATTAATTTTTCATCAAAATAACATTTTTATGAAATATAAATACAGTGTGTAATAATCCTCCAATTCCAATTGTTTGATTCGTAATACTTCCAAGTCGTTGCTTAAAAGCATTTGGGAAATTGATTCAAGACACATCAGCAATTCATTAAAAAAGTCGTCAATTGAACAAAACTCCATAACTTTTAAATTACCTTTTTGATTGATTGTAAAACGCTAACGCTGCTTCGGGCAATTGTGTATCAGCCCCATAGATTAATAACCTAGCCCTAGTTGTCAAACGTAGATACAGATAAAAGTTGCTCAAAGCGGCTTTCAGCGCTGCCATCTAGCGGCGTAATATGAAAGCTGTTTTTATCACAAAGTTTGCCAAACGCTTTTTTGAGGTATAGAAATTTTTTGGGGTATAGAAAATTTTTTGAGATATAGAAAAATTTTTGAGGTATAGAAATTTTTAAATATTAATAAAAACTTTTATATATATAAAAAAAATTAAAATATTTTATAAAAATTATATATACAGTATGTCTCAGTATCTTGGAATCATATGGAAAACTTTTTTATTATTAATTTTAGGAAAAAAAGTTATTCCTTATAAAAAGTTCTGCATGGTGTAAAACTTAAAATGCAACCCACAAATATTATTTTTTTTTAGTCGTATACGGGGTATGTCAAAAAATATGAATTTGGCTCAAGAGTAAAGTACCTTTATATTTGACAATATCGAAAATTATTATAAAGAAAAGTTAATCAGAACTAAAACCTACGTTTAAATATGCAATTACATCCATTTACATTAAAAAAAAAATATTTTTTCTTTTTTGTCTACAATATCAATGCAAATTTAACTGTAACATTTAATCTAGGATTCACTGATAAACAAATGATTTGTTGATATTCTAAAACTTATTGGCCTGCTAGATCCCCTGACTTACCTTAAGGTTTTCATGTTTTTTCTAATCATAACATATAAATGTTCATTTAAAATAGAAAGATTAGTAAAAATTAACAAAACCTAATTTTTTAATGTAACTGTATGAAATTGCATATTTAAACGTAGTTTTTAGTTCTGATTAACTTTTCCTTATAACAATTTTTGATATTGTCAAATATAAAGGTACTTTACTCTTGCGCCAAATTCATATTTTTTGACATACCTCGTATACGACTAAAAAAAATTAATATTTGTGGGTTGCATTTTAAGTTTTACGCCATGCAGAACTTTTTATGAGGAATAACTTTTTTCCTAAAATTAATAATAAAAAAGTTTTCCATATGATTCCAAGATACTGAGACATACTGTATATGGAAAAATTTTATAAATACATACAAATTATATAAATACAGGGTGTCCCGAAATTAGGGGCCAAACTTAAACAGTGCATTCTTTATAGAAAAATAACACTTTTTTTGTTTAATAAACATATATCAAAAAATGCCCCCTAACGGTGCTACGCCCCCCTAAATAGGAGCCTAACTATTTCTAGAGGGTTGAACATGAAGACCTGAATTTTTGGGACTTTGGTAATTTTGACATTTTGAATCTGGATCTATAATCAAAACTGTTAAAATTTAATCATAGGCGTAACATTTGAGGGGGCAAATTTACAAAAACAGCCCCAACTTTTTGCAGAGTGAGTTTTTTAATGTTTTGTTATAAAATTATGAAAATGTATAGTTTTTCACGAAAAATAGGTACTCTTGCTTTGAATCGCTCAGATGCACCATTTTCGAGAAAATTGCAATTTAAATTACTATGATTAGCATAATTTCTAATATTTTCATTAAAAAGCTTTGGGACAAAAGTGACGTTTGGGTTATTTGCTGACTTTACATTTATTTTTATAGTTTAGTTAATATTTTTTGGCTCGATTTTTGTTATTTTTTATTATGGAGCGATTTTCCAAATTTTAACACAAAATTTTAACGAAAATATGAGATGGGTATGCTATGCAGAGTAATTTATAAATGCATTTTTCTCGAAAATGGTGCATCTGAGCGATTCAAATCAAGACTACCTATTTTTCGTAAATAACTATAAGTTTTCATAATTTCATAAAAAAAATTAAAATATTATCTCGGAAAAAAGTTGGGGCTATTTTTATAACTTTCCCCCCCCCCCAAATGTTACGCCTATGATTAAATTTTAACAGTTTTGATCTTAGATCTTGATTCAGCATCTAAAAATTACCAAAGTGCCAAAATTTCATTTCTTCATGTTTAACGCTCTAGAAATAGTTTAATAAAAACTATTCTCTTAGGCTCCTATTCAGGGGGCCGTAGCTCCGTTAGGGGGCATTTTTTGATAAGTACATGTTTATTTAACAAAAAAGTGTTACTTTTCTATGAAGAATGTACTGTTTAAGTTTGGCCCCCTAATTTCGGGACACCCTGTATTTGCAAATAAAATGTATATACTTATTAGAAAAATTAATTATGTCCTGAACGGCGCCTCATAGATTTTGTTGTGGACGATAGTACTTAATTTCCTTTTATAAATAGGGAAAATCTTGAAATAGTGATAATTTACAAACATTTGCATTTGTTTGACAAGACATTTTTTATCACCATTCTTTCAGATATAGGTAATTTATTTTTTTATTTATAAACCAAAATATTTTTTATATTTCCATTATAGACATTTATTATAAAAAACATCTATATAATAAAAATGTATGCGTCTTAAATAATTGTTTTACTTTTAATCTACCTAAATAAATAAACAAATTATTATGTTATACATACTTTATAATTATTATATTATTTACATTCGAAACTACTGTGACTTAAAATCTCTTAGTGCGACTTAATATGGCAGTGCGCCTTAAAATCTGGCAGTGCGCCTTAAAATCTGGCAGTGTAACTTAAAATCTCGCAGTGCGACTTAAAATCTGGCAGTGCGACTTAAAATCTGGCAGTGCGACTTAAAATCTGGCAGTGCAACTCAAAATCTGGCAGTGCGACTTAAAATCTGGCAGTGCGACTTAAAATTTGGCACTGCGACTTAAAATCTGGCAGTGCAACTTAAAATCTGGCAGTGCGACTTAAAATCTGGCAGTGCGACTTAAAATTTGGCACTGCGACTTAAAATCTGGCACTGCCTGATTTTGCTAAAAAACATAGTGATGGCCCTTAAGAACCATCGTAAGTATCACTATCCAAAAACATGTTTTAATCTTCTTTTTCTTCTTCTTCTTTCTGTATTTGTTGGCCTCAGTTAGGATGCAACCATATCAAATTTTTTAATACTGTCAACATATTATTTTAGTTAACTAAAAGTTTAAGCAGTTTGGTTTGGTCAACAACTCCTGAACAAGCTAAATCCCTACTTCAAATGGCTGATGAGCAATTTGTTGAACAATTAAACGATTCTTTGGTAAATATACAAAATAAAAATTAAAAATACGTATACAAAAATATGTCGTTTTTAGTATAAAAATTTTACTCATAACAGCGTTATTGACCAGGTGACACAGGGGGTCTCAAATTTTTTAAAATTTTTCAACTGCCCCTCTGATCTTATGAGACAGTTGCCTCCCAAAATTTGCGGGGTGGAGGAAAAAAGCAGGGCTGCATTTCCCTTAGGTTTTGGACATGCTACCAACTATATTGGTAAAGGTGTAGCACTAGTTGGGTAAGACTTATTTGAGTTATTAAAAATTATTTAAAAAGTTTACGATATCAAAAGTTTTTTTTATATATGTAATAAATTAAAATTTTACCTAAAAAATGTTTTAAGGTGAAAATATTAGTAATATAAAGTTTTAAAATTACTTGTATTAACTTTTTACGACTCCCAATTATACAGGGTGTCTCACCAGCGATGGCACCTTAGACGTTTACGGAGAACGGCTGATGATATCAATTTGAAATTTTTATAGCAATTATTGTACAATTTAATCTGCCTTTTAAAATTATTTTGAATAAAATTCCTCTTCCGGTTTAACCGGAAGCGACATCAACTTTGTTATTTCCAATGGAACACCCTGTAAATTTTTTTATTTTTAAATTCCTCATGAAATTCTTAATGAAATTGCTGTACCATTCCCTATACCTAAACTTAATATTTTTCGAGTTAATAATTTTTTTCGTAAAATTTTGACAGTTGCACCTTCATTAAAAATTGCTTATAACTTTTTTGATATTCGGTTTGCTGGTATGCTGTAAGGATTTTTGGAATCTTAAAACATTGTTTTAAAGATTCCATGTCTGAAATTTTCATATTTATAATCAAAAACCAGAGAAAAATCGTGGTAAATTTGGTTAACTTCAAACATTAATAACTTGTTTATTTTCAATGGAACGGTATGCATGTTTTTACATAATCAAATAGGAAAATGAATTACATTTCGATTGGTATAACCATTCCCTATACCTAAATAGTAAGGTTTCGGAAATACAAGCAAATTTCTGTAAAAATCCAATATTTTGACATATTTATCTCAGATACCGATGAAATGTCAGAATAAATTAGTTATGTCATTGATTGACAGTTGATACATTTCTTAAAGAAGATATTTTAAAAATAATGGAAAACAACAATTAAACAAAGATTTAAGAATTTAATTATTATAAATTATAAAAAACGTGATGGAAAAAATAACATAACATTTTAAAATGCGGTGCCTGGGAGATTCCGTTGTGGCCCTCCTATTTGCATCAAAACCTCATTGGAATAGTTGTTTCTATCCATTTTACTTAATTTTTGAACGCTTTTAGAAATTTTGAACACCACTTGCATGGAGCCTACACAAGGAGCCCGAACTTAATAGGGAAAATTGACAAAACCTGCCCTCTAAATTGCACAAATTAAGTCTTTTTTTTTCACCACCAGCGGCGCTGATTGTTGATGCGTCCTGACGTCTGCTCTTTTGGTAGCGTTTCGGTACAAATTAGTCAATTGTTTCAGATTAAACGGTACACCAGCGCCTACTTTCCTTAGGAAGATTCTTGTTTACATGCAGTTCGGACTCCTTGTATAGGCTCCATGACCACTTGGTTAAGAAATGTATCAACTGTCAATCAATGACATAACTAATTTGTTGTGATATTTCATCGGTATCTAAGATAAATATGCCAAAATATTGGATTTTTACAGAAATTTGCTTGTATTTCCGAAACCTTACTATTTAGGTATAGGGAATGGTTATACCAATCGAAATGTAATTCATTTTCCTATTTGATTATGTAAAAACATGCATACCGTTCCATTGAAAATAAACAAGTTATTAATGTTTGAAGTTAACCAAATTTACCACGATTTTTCTCTGGTTTTTGATCATAAATATGAAAATTTCAGACATGAAATCTTTAAAACAATGTTTTAAGATTCCAGAAATCCTTACAGCATACCAGCAAACCGAATATCAAAAAACTTATAAGCAATTTTTAATGAAGGTGCAACTGTCAAAATTTTACGAAAAAAATTATTAACTTGAAAACTATTAAGTTTAGGTATAGGGAATGGTACAGCAATTTCATTAAGAATTTCATGAGGAATTTAAAAATAAAAAAATTTACAGGGTGTTCCATTGGAAATAACAAAGTTGATATCGCTTCCGGTTAAACCGGAAGAGGAATTTTATTCAAAATAATTTTAAAAGGGAGATTAAATTGTACAATAATTGCTATAAAAATTTCAAATTGATATCCTCAGCCGTTCTCCGTAAACGTCTAAGGTGCCATCGCTGGTGAGACACCCTGTATAGGGTGTCTATAAAAGATATTTAATATATTTTGTCGTTATTTTTTTAGTTTTTTTTTATCTTGTTGAAGTTTTATAATTGCTATACATTTTTTTGTAATATTTCATATAACGTTATTAACGTTTAATTTGTGCATTTCTAGTGATGCTGCCCATAGAGTCCACCCTCTAGCAGGTCAAGGGGTTAACCTAGGTTTTGGCGACATAATTTCCCTAAATACAATTCTAGGAAAATCGGCATACTCAGGTAGCCACTTAGGTAACACTTTAAACCCTTTAAAAAACACCAAAATCACTAAAAAACATTTATTTAGCCGACATCTGCTATCTAAAAGAATACGAGACGGAAAGGCAAAAGCACAACGTCCCGACAATGTTAGCTGTTGATGGTTTACACAGACTGTACGCCACTGATTTTACGCCCCTCGTACTTTTAAGGAGTGTGGGATTGCAGCTCACCCATGCCATAGGACCCCTTAAGGTAAACATGCACATTCCCAAGTCTGCACAAGTTTGAACTTTATGAATATAATCATATTATAGGGGCCGTCCATAAATCTCGCGACGCTAAAAATGGTCAAAATTGACCCCCTCCCCCTTCCTAAAAATATATTTTCCGAATCATTTTTGTATTAAAAAAGATTAAATAAGCAATTTCATTTGATTTACTTTGTCACGTGACGTTTCAAACATTAATTTTATTATATACCTACAAAAAATTTAACAGTGGATTCATTTGTAGAAAATAATGGTTTTTTCATATTTATTTCATATTCATATGCTCTAAAAATACCGAATATAGAATTTAAAATTTTTTAATTACTTCCCATACAGCATCCAATTCAAAACGTCTATTGAAAAACAATTTACCGATTTTTAGGAGCTCAATATTAAGAGATCTTGATGAATTCATCATAAATGAGAAGTCAATTTTTTAACATCTTAAAGTTTTTTTTTCTGACCTCTTATTGGAATCAAAATTAGAAGCTACTAACGGTATCATAAATAAGACTTCAATTATATGGTATCTGGAGACGTCACATTTATGACATTTTAATGCGATTACTTTCTTCTCACCGCTGTAACTGTTTGTGTTTGATTTAAGAAGCGGCGAAGTAGAATTTAGAGCGTGCTCCATACCAAACGGTCTTAGGCCTAGGTAAACGGCTACCCGATACTGAAGAGCTCCAAAAGAGCGAAACAAGCCGTCTATCAGTGCCTTGAATTTAAACAAAAGTGAGACGAAGTAATTGCAATTCCAAAAATAAGCGAATACGAGCAAATTATTAAAATGATTTTAACAAATTCGTTTGATCTTTGGTAATTAAACTAGACATATCTAACGTGTTTTCGGGGTGGTTAATTAGGCTCGTAATACTTAATAAAACTATATTCCCTATTTGTATAACATTAACTAATTACTGTAAGTTATCTACGCGTATATTCGGATTCTACTTGTACTCGCGTGGTTATTGCTTTACTACTGTCTGTCCGGGGTTGCTTAGGGTCACAGGTCACCTTGCATTGCACTGTTGCGGGTAGATACTAGAGGTGGAGAACTATCGATAGTAACTATCGATTATATCGATAGTTTACAATAAAACTTTACTATCGACTTATCGCCTATCGATATTTTTTCAAATTTACTCAGTAACAGTTATGCGCGATTGGTCTGAAATAAATCCTATTCATCTCAACGCTTTATTATTAAATGGAATACACTATAGAGTTGTGTTACGGTGGAAATAACCGCTCTTAGGGTTGTGTATTAGGTCAAACGGACACCCAGTAAGCCCAAGTTAGGCGGCCCGCATACGAACCGAATACGTTTGGCCGAACTGACCGCGTCCGGCCCGGAACACGTATGAGTTTCGTAGACCGGGCATGTCCGCCTGGCCGAATGTCGGCTGAGTATAGTTGATCGAGTGCCATGGCCATGACCGCCTGGTTATACAAAATAGCCTACAGACGTCCTGATGGTTTAGTCCTTAAAAATTCTCTTAATGGCAAGATACTTCTTTAACAGACACGATTAGCTAGCCATTATTTGTTACTGTGCCATTACAGACGCACATATCCAAATAAATAAATATTGCAACCCATCGCGATTTATAGTTAGCTCGCTTGCATAAGCAGCCGTGAGATGTATCGCTTATTTCTGCTGATTTTGGTTAGTAGGTGGCCAAACGGTAGCCAGGATAACATAACGTTGGCCGTAAGCGGGCCGGTTGGGGCAACTTAAACCGCGGCATGCCGTATTCTGTCCGACGCGTCGGTACCGGTTGCCTATGTTCTAACCGACGTCGCGACGTCGGTTAGAACATAGGCAACCGGTACCGGGGCAACATAATGCAGGCTATAAGCGGGCCGGCTGTGGGCAAACCGCCAGTCAACAGCCTATGCCAAGCGGTGGCCGATTGTTTGCCGAGTGTTTGGTGCTTACTGGGCAGTTATAACTCTTATAAGAGTACTTGGTTTTTGCAGGGGTTGGCCCTTTCCTCAATTGGTTAGCCTCGTTTGTTTTTCACATAAAATGCTTGCTATTGTCAGGTGGTTCGTCCGCCAGGTATACTGTCACTTATCACTTCTTACTTTATCACTTCTGTGACCGTAAAATGACCTTTAACTCACTGAAGATACAATGCACTATAGTTTATGTGCATTATAGAAGTAGTTTATTTTTTGAGTTGTGAAATTTGTTTTTTGAGCGATAGTTCTTTCCTCGTGAAGAGTTCGAACGTGAATGCGCTTACATATGTATATAAAATTTATATTATAAATAAAGATATTACAATCGACCCCGAGTAAGTAATTGATAGAATTTCAAAGGGCAACAAAGAAAGATTACCTTTTGTCTTGTAAATTAATTTTAGTTAGTTTTGTTTTTGTTCAAAAATGTTTGTTTGAAGTATGACTAAATATTTAGTTATAGGTTCTTCTTGATGGTTGTCCTAAAGAAAATACTTTGTATGTTTTGATTAAAGATGAATATTTTTTGTTTTAGTCTTTTTAAGTTTTTCTTCAAACCTAGCCCAACCCTTTATTACCCCCCCCCAGAGTGATGGTTACGCGTTGCTGGTGCGTCAGGTTTTAATAGTTCCTCTCAGGGACACAAATTATAAAAGTCAGAATCTAATAAAACCATAGATTAAATCTATAAAGAAAAACTAAACAAATAGTAAAATTAAATTTAACTAAAGGAATACATATCAATATTTAACAGAAGTGTCAATTATTGTCTATGGTGTGATGTCAACAGATCAACCAATTAATTCTTGTGATAATAATCAATTGTTGCCAAACGCATACGTATTTTTAAAGTAAAAATAAAACCATTGTTTGAACATTCTGTACATAAGACCCTCGATTAGACCTAATCTATACAATATGACCTAAAAGAATAAAATTAAGGTAAACCTATCATTTTTAAGTATAAAACCTCATTAAACATATGCTCTTATATACGACCTAAAAGAATAAAATTAAGGTATACCTATCATTTTTAAGTATAAAACCTCATCAAACATACACAGTGGTCCTCGACTAGCCATGGGTTTTATGAAAATGGCGCCAAAAAATAGGTTCAGATATTAGTAGGCGTGTATATCAAGGTTACAAAAACGCTGCAAGTCAAATCATAGCTGATCATAAAAATTTGTTTTTGTGATACTTTTATTTATGTTTACATTTGACCATTGTTTTAAATTAATTTCAATAATTGGCACATAATTGGAGGTCATAAAAGTTTACATATAGGTTCATTGATAAGTTGGCACTGAAATATTTGATTAACTTGTCAGTTGTCAGCCTAGGTTTGGTCTAGGGTTGTCAGTTACTGTTTGCCTTAAAACACAAATCTAATAATTTTTGTCGGTTTTATTGTTACTTTTATGATAAAATGAATCCTATTGAAATTGTGAGCAACCATGAGCATAACAGCATGTGGGCAGAAAATTATTATGGGTAATACAAAATCGTCGAAATTTTTAATTACAGAATCCTAAGTTACCAATTTCAATTTCCATCTGCAATACTTGTCGCCATGGTATCCCAAAATTTAAAAGCCAATTATTATGTAAAATTGTCCCCTGAATCCGAAAATACCGTCAAAAAATATGAAAGTTTAGCAGTTTTTGAGATATAGTCAATTCCATATTAAATGGAAAATTGACTATATCTCAAAAACTGTTCTACTTTTTTAACTTTTGAAGACATATTCGGATTTAGGAGACAATTTTACATAAGAATTGGTTGTTAAATTTTGGGATTCCATGGTTAACCATAGTTCAAGTGAAAAAGCCACTAATAACTAAATTAGTCATTTTTGACTAACTCATTTTTAGAGGGCTGGGCTTTCAAAGTTTCTTAAATTGCACGTCATTTTGGAACATATTACTCAATCTTTGCAGTTTCTTCAAGAAGGTGGACTTGGTTTATGGTCAGAGCAAGCAGCAATAGATTATTCATAGAGAGTTTGTCAAGTACTGGAACCGATATAAAATAAATCTCTTACAATATCCTTGCTATCAAAGTCAGTTAAAAAAAGCTGTTGTTGAGTTCTCCTCTAGACATTTGTAACAAATATTGAATATATGTGAATTTGTTTTGGTCAATAACCTCTTTTCACTGTAAAAATAAAAAGTACTTTTTTAAAATTGTAGGAATCTAAAGGCTATGTAAAAATGCGAAATTGTTACATCCATAAAATAAGTTAATGATCAGCTACGATTTTACTTGATGAATTTTTGCAATGCTTATAGATATACCTATCAAAATCCGAACTCATTTTTTGGCGCCATTTTCATACAACCCATGGCTAGTCGAGGACCACTGTGCATATGCTCTTATAAGAACTTTTAGTTCTAAATTAAGACCTTTATGCATAAAAAATACATGTATTGTATTATTTTTAAAATATAGGACGATATTTGCTTGACACAGAAAATTAAACTTATTATTTGTATCAAAGTCACGTGGTGGCACTTTTGGATGTGGACCATATACTATGTACCTACGCTTATTTTGATGCGTTCAATTCAATTTCAAATTACTTTTCCTGAACAAAAAATGTTATCGTTATTTTTATTAGACTGTGGAAGACTTTCTGGTACTATCTTAAGTTATAAAATTAGTTGTAAATTTCTTTATTAGAACTAAAATTATGCGTACACATTAAATTAATTGTAAAATAAAAAATATTATGGTCTTATAAATGAAAAATTGCAATAAAATCATATGGTTAAAAAATTGTCCCAAAATCTTTTTAGTCTCACAATAATTTCAGTATAAATTTTAAACTAAAAAAGCCCTCATTCAAAATAAAAATGGACGAAATTAAAACAGAAAAATATGTAAAGTGTTTAAAAATATTCTTCGGGTAAAATATTTAGATGTTGTAAAAATGCGTTTCAAATTAAAATGTATTATAGAAAATAATTTTATATACCTTGACATAATAATAATTCGCTAGTATCCTATCAGATAGGACCTATCAGTTTCCATTGAATTTAATTAAATATACCTAGACCAGGCGTAGAAGTCTCATACAGTATGAGACTTCTACGCCCGGTCTATATTTAATTAAATTCAATGGAAACTGATAGGTCCTATCTGATTATATAAAATAATTATTTTCTATAATACATTTTAATTTGAAACGCATTTTGAGTCATACTATAGCAGAGCGTACATTTTACTGCCGAGGCGCAAGTCAAAGCAGTAGACTATGTGCAAGGAAAACTATTTATTTTGATCATTTAATTTTAATATTTCTAGGTTCAACTGACAATGAAATTTTAGCGTTATTTTTGTACGAAGGTTTACAATAATTTTACTTTTAATTATTACTATATAAAGCCGTTCTATATACATTTATGAGTTACGAAATATGAAAATTATTATACGCTTGAAAACATTTTTTAAATACATACCATGTTTTGTAATCTAAAAAAAAATCCCTATTACTTTTTGAGCAATAGTTCTTATAACCACTAGGTAAGGGGACATCCATTAATTACATAAGATAAAAATGGGGGGAGGGGTCTAGCAAAATCTCAACAAATCTCATTTTAAGGGAGGGGGTGTCATTTAAAATCTCACGTTAACTTTTGAGTTTAAATTTATATAAAAAAATCTCACGTCAACTTTTGAGCTTAAATTTCTTAAAAAAAATAATACATTTTTTTAAATGTTTTTGAGTTTATCATGTTGTCCGCAAATAAAGTTAAATGGCTAGAATCTCCAAGGGGGAGGGGTGTCCAAATTCTCAGAAAAATGCCCCACTTAATTAATGGATGTCCCCCAATGATTTCTTCAAAGCCCGCTACTGAATGTTGCTGGGTACACTTCATTTTAAAGTCCTGCGACTAAATAGTTCGAC